AGTTTACCTCTGAAATGTACAAACTTATGTTGGTAATTGTTTCACTCGTAGTTGCTAGCCGCCCATATATTATGTACGACTGGGGCTGAGATTTTGTTGTTGTAACTTGTGAGTTCTTTGGCATTTTGAATCCGCCAATTTGCTCTAGTCATTTCTACTTTAATTCCATTATATAGCCAATGACAACGAAAGAAACTTGAATTGCGTGAAAGACATTAATGCTAATCAAGATTGTAAAAGACAATTGAAGTTTAGAGGAACGTTATATGATCAGTCCCTGAATATTGATATTGTAGCGTTATTAAATGTACAGGATATATTAGGGAATTTTAAATCTGCAATGTGGAAGTGCCCTTCCGATTTGAAAATGTATTTAACCTTCCAGGCTGGCCCTTGTGAGTGGATTGAAATGGGTGGATGAAGTCATTACTGATGCTCCCTATGCTATTACTGAGCAATTCTTGAATCGTCTCTTTCATGAATACAAAGTAGACTATATCATACACGGTGATGATCCTTGCCTGCTTCCAGATGGGACTGACGCTTATGCCTTGGCAAAGAAAGCTGGGCGCTATAAGCAAATTAAACGTACTGAAGGAGTTTCCAGCACAGATATCGTAGGTACTGAGTTTGTCTATCTATATCTGTAAAATGTCAGAAGTTCTGCAAATCATGATTATTTTTATTGGGTTCCTGATGAATAAGTTAAGACCTTTTTCGTTGCAAGTTGTTTTTTTTTTTTTTTGGGTGAACTTCTTTGCAAGTTCTTGTTGAAGCAACTATTCATTGGCAAGAGGAGAAAAAGAAGGAAAAAAACTCTGTACATTTGTTTCTGTGCACACCTGCAAGTGTGACAATTAAGTTATTTAAGCTCAAAAGATTATCTAAGGTTCTCTCAAATTCGTAGAGCATCTTAATTGATGTGATTCTCTTGTACCCAGCTAATTTCAGCACATCATTTTTGTGCTTATCATACATATTACTGCTAATATTGTGTCATTGCAGGCAGAATACTTTCTTCTCTGGGAGATACGAAAGTTTGTAAAGATCATGATGACAATGATGCAAGGCCTGAGGAAGAAAGCCAGTTGAAGGGTGCCCATTTGGCGCATTTCTTACCAACTTCCCGACGCATTGTCCAGTTTTCAAATGGCAAGGTATATTTTGCTGGTGTGGCCTAACTGTGTTGTTCTGTAATTCTACTAATCAAATTGGTGGATTTTAGTCTCTTGCTATATTTTTTATTGTTCCTCTTCTGACGTCATGTATTCTATGTTGGTTGATCTAATCCAATAAATGTCACTTGTTTACATTTTGGGCTTGACGGTCTTTACATTTTTTTACTGTCTTTTCATGGGTAGGTCTTTGCATCATAGTGCTGTCCTTGCCATTCAAGAGTGGGCATGATGAGTTGTGAAGTGTCTAATCTTGAATGGATTGGCCAAAATTATAAGATGTCTCTTTCTCCCATTTAGGGCCTTTCTACTGTCTTATTTAACTTCAAGTTTTGGAGAATTGGGCAAAATTTTAATTTCTAGCAGTGGCAGATTCTTTCTTGATTCTCAAATGACACTTTCAGCTAGATTATATTAGGAAAACAGCTAATGCAGATCACATTAGAATTCAGTGCAGAATAAAGCTTCAATGAATATTTATTTGTGTCTATTAATACATTTAGAGATATTTCAATTGATTGAAATATATATGGAATTTTACGATATAGTTTTTATGTGGATGGATACACACACACACACACACACATATTATATGATTTGGACCTTTTGGTTAGTAAATCTCTATGTCTAGAACAGTGGTGTGACTTTTGAAACTTGCAGAGCTCTGTCTTCTTACATTCTAGTTTTGAGGGTTTTTCCCCATTGAAAAAATAATTATTGACTCCTTCCTTATTATAGGGCCCTGGACCAAATGCTCGTATTGTTTACATTGATGGGGCATTTGATCTCTTCCATGCAGGACATGTTGAGGTAAACAGATTTATACATGGGTTTAATTTAGTATTATTACAGTCAAAAATTAAATTTTATCATAATATGAAAATATATTTTAAAGGTAAAATGTGATCTAATTTCTATTATAGTGTATGATTCTTTAATCATTATTTCATTTGCTTTCAGATTCTTAAGAGGGCTCGGGAGCTTGGAGATTTTCTTCTAGTTGGTGTCCACACTGACGAGACAGTGAGGTATGCAGTTTGTTATCATGCAAAACTTGACTTTATGGAGTTTATTTTGGTATTATCTTGAAGAGTAGATAAAACTTTCCTGTAGTGAACATCGGGGGAGCCACTATCCAATTATGCAATTACATGAACGTAGTCTCAGTGTGCTGGCTTGTCGTTATGTAGATGAGGTCATTATCGGTGCGCCTTGGGAAATTACAAATGATATGGTAAGTTCCTGTTGTCACATTTTTTGAATCACATTAAAGCAGCTATCATTGTATCATTATGGAAATATCTTAGTTGGAATTATTCCTAGTGTATGTGTACAGAAACCGACTTTTTGTACATTTAAATTGTTAATTAATTTCAATATGACTGCTGTATGATGATTTTATGGATAAATACGAGCATACAACCTAGAGAGAGAAGGAGGAAAGGTTTCATCTTGATAAGTTATTTGTGATGATCGGTCAAACCTTAGTGAGTAAACGAACAGATCCTTCCTCTTGTTTCTCACCATCAGGCTGTTATTAATGAGTTGGAAGTTGGATCTGTGATGTTCCCTGTTGTGTTGTGTCACCGTCAAAGCTATTAGCCTGTCTCTTGTTTGCTTTGATGTTTCGGCTAGCAACTGTTTCATGTTTTTTCCAGGCTTGTCTATCCCATCTGATCTCATCATCAAGGATAATTTCTATTTTCTTTGTGTATCATTTACATATGACGAGGTGTACATTTGTTTCGAAACAGATTACAACTTTCAATATCTCCCTAGTTGTTCATGGCACAGTCGCAGAGAAGTCACAAAATGTAAGCTCATTCATCATCTGTAAGCTCACATGTGATAAAATACCGATTTCCATTTAACATGCCAGGAAAAAAATATTGCCTTGCAGTGTGATATTGATCCATACAAGGTACCAATGATGAAGGGAATATTCCGGTTGCTCGATAGCCCAAAGGAAGTAACCACTACTTCAGTGGCCCGAAGGATAATGGCTAATCACGAAGCTTACAAGGTAGTCTTAATTTTATTTGCTTTCTTGATATTGGAGCAACCCTCGGGTTTCGCATCAATGATATTCTTGACGCATGATCCTAAACCCCACCCTTTCCTTTTTGGGGAAAAAAAAAAGAAGGAAAGCGAAAAGTTATAGTGACATCAAATATTTTTGCTTCCACTTTTGCTTGTGCTGCAGAAACGCAATGCTAAGAAGGCTACGAGTGAGAAGAAATACTACGAAGAGAAAAAATATGTTTCCGGAGACTAGCTGTATATATATAGACGTGTTGGAGCATAGTTTGGTGCTGCACTTTGACTTACCTTTATCACAATTGGTGTCCTATGGATAGAAAAGGAATGATATTTATTTGAAGGACGTGTTCAGAGGATGATACTTCACGAAAAGGCCTCACAAGAACATTGGGAAACCATCATGTTTTTCCATTTTATTTATTAGGTGGCTTCCTTGGTGGTATACCTCCTCCCATTTCTGTAGAATTTGGATTTTTTTTTTGTTGTCTTACATATGGGGGGGGGGGGTGCGCCACAACCCGAGTTTGTCCATTTAAACACAAAATTGACTAGTACAAGTTTTGAATGTATCATGAATTTTCCTGCTATTTGATTTTCAATTATAAGCAGTTTAAAATTATTCTGAAAATTGCGCAGTAGAAGCACGTGTTCGAAGACGATGCATTTCTAGACGTTGAGAGTCGGACACTAATTCCTAGTTATTTGTTAGAAGCGTCACTGCATTTGATTTACTTTTGGGTTAAAGTACAAATATATTCATTGGTTGTTATTGATTGTTTAACAAACATATTAGTCAAGAAAATATTTGAAAAGTTTCTTCGATGTTTTGACCTCCACCTTCTTAATCTCCTCTCCGTCTCCCACGCATGGTTAATTTGTAATCACGGTGTTCCTAATCTATAACTAGTTAGCTTCGAGGCAAAAGTACAGACAAAGAAGAAACCAAAGAAAATGATAGCGGATGAGGCAATTGGCGGAGCAGCAGCTTTAATACTGAGAAGGTGCTACCATGAAATTATGCAAAAGACTTTATAATAGCGGACATGGTTGTGGGGAGTGAAAATACCGTGCAACACATGGGATTGTTTGTTAAATGATTAGCATTAGTTAACTTAATAACCATGGCATTTTTTATCATTTTGAAAACTTCATATATACTTCCGTATCATTTTAACTAACATGTTAAACAGTTAATATTGTTTCATTTGAAATCTAACATTTCATCATTGCTCCACAAGCAAATAAGAAACTTTTCTAGAATTAAATGGAATAGAGTGAGAGAGGTTAAATGCATGTATTATTGTTTTATGAGAATTTTTCCAAAGTGAGAGGAATGATTTGGGATGGCCATTTAAAACATCGTTAGTCATTTGAAAGGCCCTTTTTCCTAAGATGGAATGACTAGAAATAAATTGCACAACTACCGCTTATTCTTCTCACCCCTTCTCTCACTTTCTCCTCCCCCACCATAAAATTACAAAAGTATAAGTAATCTTATTCCATTTATTTTATAACAACTCTCAAAGATTGTTAAAATGAAATCCCCACCCCACTTTATTCCACACCATCCATGGCTGTCCCATTCCATTCCATCCTAAACTCAACATATTCTTAGAAATGCAAGACTGAGGAAAGCAAACGCGGAGTTGCTATCTTCTTAATGCCTACTTGTGTGTGCCCACCAAATTGAGAGGCAAGCCAAGGCACAACAGTCAGACGATCGTTGAGTCTGTCATCTAACAAAATACTCACATCGATCGCTTATAGGGCAACCACCATTTCAGCTTTTCCTAGACATCTTTGCATCAAATTTGTCATATAAAAAATATTTACATCAATCGGCTATACCAATACCTTAGACTCAATCTAAGTGCTTCATATATGAAAGACTTACTTTGAGTTATATTTTAAATTCATGTAAGCAACTGAAATACATACCCATTAAATAGATGTAGAGCTGTTTCTTTTTACACGAAAATAATTTGTTCCATTACACAGAAAAATATTGCTGATAACGAGGAAAGGTGCCTTGGAGGCAACAGAATTTTCCAAATTAAACGTTGGGATCAGGAGTAAGCAGGAGGATGATAGAAGAGTAACTCAACATTGGATAAAAGTTAGCATCAAGGAATTGAGCATACTGTTGCACTGCAATGTCTCTCTGAGGTAGGTCTGCTGCGAGAAAGTCATAAGGTGAAGACTTACTGGTGTCTACCAGGGGCTCCCATCTGGATCCAGGACGCCCGGGCAAGCTAATTGTCACCGGTAAATGACTCGTATTGAAAGCAACGTAAATTTCTCCCTTCACCGAGTCAATCTGGGTACAAGTTTATTCCAAATAAGGACACAAGTCAATCATTCACGGAGTATTCCAACAAAAGGAGGATAAATATGTTTTAAGCCTGGAACTCTGGTGGCATATGTTGGAATGGAGAACTTGATGGGCAAAAATTTTAAACCTCAAAACTATTACATAAATGGACTGAAATAATTTGTGAAATAGGAAGGAAAGTAACCTAGGAGCCAAGTACAACTAACAATATGCAAACCTCTCTCTTGAAGAATGAAACCAAAGAGAGAAAAAAATAACAGTAAGAGGAAAGAATAGCCCTATGTGATGTAACTCAGTACTAGAAGAGGTGGTTGTCCAAAGACTGCCCAACCCCGTATACGCCAAAACTCCTTTTTGGACAAGGGTGGAAGAAGCTTCCTGAAGATCTTTCAAGACCTACAGAGCATCCCAGCACAAAGCAAAACTGAGCCAAACATATCCTTCCACAGTATAGAAGCATAGTGCCAAAACTCCTCTCAGCTTCTGGCTTTGCAAAACAGTTCAAGTTTTCACATATTTCAGCCAAGACATCATCACCCATTGAATTTCGCAATTTTCAATCCATAATGATCTCACTCCCATTATGCATCAGTAACCAGCGTCAAAACATATTCAGACAAAGCAACCTCAAAGTCAGAACCAAATAAAGCAATAGTGACAATAAGATGAACAGACATCAAAATAACAGAGAGGCTTCTAAGGACACCTGGCAACTCAACATTGTAACAGCTTGGAAAGACTTATGATACTGGAACTCATGCTTTATCGAGTATCTTATTCTATTTTGAAATTGGTTTATTCTGCAACAACAAATGCTAGTCACAATATGAGGCTTGAGAAACAAAGAGAAGATATGTACAAACGAGATATCCAGCAACAAGAAGAAGGAAAAGGATTGAATAGAGGAACTCCCGAACATTTAGCGATCTCAGACATCAAAATAACAGAGAGGCTTGTAAGGACACCTGGCAACTCAACATTGTAACAGCTAAATCCCAATGTTTCACAAAGCAAGCATGCGGCCAGGAGGGGTGGTAATCGTAAGAATTACTCTACAAAAGAGCCCAACCCCTTTATCGCTACTGCTACTTCAACACTTGCAGCTTTCAGGCTCTCCCTTCAAGCAAGAGAGAAAATCTATGGAAGACTACATCAGTGAATTACTCTAACAAAGAGCCCAACCCCTTCATCACTAATGCTACTTGAACACTTGCAGCTTTCAAGCTCTCCCTCAGAGAGAGAGAAAATCTCTGGAAGACTACATCAATGTCCATGAGATCACATAACCATACAGAATTAATCCATACAATTATCAGCCACAAAGCAATCCATTCTCTAACTTTTTGTTTCAACATAATCCCCTCACATGCAACCACTGCACTACTAGAACTAACATGGCCTCCTAGTGGCACCCATCTCTTATCATCTTTTAATTTATTTACAATTTTTTCAGTACTTGTGGCCAAACAATCATTCCCATACAAGCACCAGCAACATGATCCAGTGGCACAAACCATAGCATCCAGTATTCCCATTCGAATTTCATTGTTTCTAATAGTATAAGAGAATCATTCCACATGTTTACACCAGCCACCCAAATCTCATACAAGATCATGTGTAAAGGGAATAGGCCATACCGAATTGAGAAATTCAAAACCAAATTTTTCGTTACCTCACCCTTCCTGTTCAGACTTGCCTCATTCTCCCAAATATTTGAGTTCCATTTACTCTACTATATGTCCTTTGTGAGAACGGAGACCCATGAGGCCTTTAGGTCCTCCACTAACCTCCACGGCCACAACAATGTAATCACTGGTTCGTGACTTGAAAGTGATGCAGTGGAGGATGATCTTGATTCAGATCTGTCAAGCTTCACAGAACTAGAGAAAGGCAAATTGACGAACTCCTTCCTCCATTAGCCAAAATCGCATATCCCCTACCTCTTGCTCATCAATGGCCCTAGCAGAATCCTTTCAATCCAGATGCTTGTTGCTAATCCTCAATCGCCTAGCAGAAGCTGTTCATCTTGCCATCTTTTCTTCGCTCCACGCCTCTAAAGACTTCTGAACATCAACGATTAAACCTGTTGGCTTCAGAGAGACACCCACATCGACTACCCCCATAACACACATACAAAACCAAACATCCTCTCTCTCAGCAGATGCTGGAGAGAGGCAGTGGGATCACAACTCTCATGAACAGAGAGAGATGAATGCCACACAAGGGAAACCCAAGGGATGGACCCTCACGAAGGAGGGAGAAAAATTTTCACTCAAGCTGTTTATTCAAGTTTTTTATTTTGAGAAGTACAATGCAATAATGAAGCAAAAGATTTGTCAACTACAAGGGATATGAGCAAAAACAGGATCATACCATGGTAAAAGCCACAAAGCGGCTAGTTTCAGACCAGTCAGGCATTCCAGGAACATGACCGTGCCATTGCAGCCTCTCTGATGTAGCGAAGTCTTCTAAGCCCAATGACTCACATTCCCTGAAGGATCACAAAGTCAGAACATAAGATAAAAGAGTCCGAAATGAAAGTAAAAGATCCTTACTTGCGAAACTTAGTCATAAGTTGGCAGAATCTGAAGAAGTCTGATGAGGATTCTTCCTTTTTATCCCATCGGAAGTAATTAAGCTGCCAAAAAATTGAAAATAAACCTATAGAAATAAAGTATGGCAAAATTTGCAGTTTTCTAGTGGACAGAGAATCACATAGTTATCATGACAATATGTATTGTTGTTGCCCCCTTTTGTGTGTCCATATTCATCGCCCATATAAATCATCGGAACTCCCTGTCAAATTTTTGTTCAATGTTAGTAAATAGTAATCCTGATCCAGAAGCATAAAAATGTTGGCCCTCCCATGTTAAAAGGCAAGCAGTGATAGGTTAGCAGGTTTAACAAAAATTGTAGACCCAATGTAAGGATTAAAATAGATATAATTTGGATCGTATTGGTGTTCCATCTTCAGGTTCAGGGAAATCATGGGTAGCTCAGATGCAGACTCGTGCAACAGAAAATAAAAATATACAGATAATCACAAATGTGGAGGTTCTTAGCTGAATATATCACAGTTGAATCTAAATGAGGAGGTTCAAAATAAAGTGCAGATTTTCCAAGGAAGCCCACTATTCAAGATGGGAGCTGACTCTTCTGCAGGAACCTCCCTGGACATAGGATAACTCGGTTTTATCTTGTTTGATTAGTAGCACGTTTGATTTCCAGGTGTTAATTTTTCAAGCTTGTTCCTTGCCCTTGTATCCAAAATAAATAAATAAATAAAGTGCTGAAGCTTCTATTTCAGCACCATATCCCAATAGTCATTTCCTTAAGAAGCCCTAACGATTTTGGAATGGAAGGTGCTTATTGACCCACATAAGACGCTCTATACTATGGTATAGTTTGCTGAATACAGTTAGAACTTCGACAGCAGTTATCTGCATTCCTACCTTGAGGTCAAATCAAAATGCTTTTAAAGGGGTTGAAGACATTATAGTCTCCTCACACCTCACACAACCCATAAGACTAGCCTTGGCCTATAGGTGATGGGGCCTGTCACTCTTGCCCTTTCCATTTCAGTAGAACAATTAAATACCCTTGGTTCAATTAGACTCCCAGTTTCTCTGTATTTACTTCTTTTTTGTTGGTATAATCTACACAAGGAAGTTGACGAAGTCCACCAATGATCCATTCACATTAGTTTCACAGATCAGTTTCTACAGCTATGCATTATGACAGGAGTGACCAGCAAAATTAACTTCCATCAAATAAAACTCCAACCTGAAATACCAAAATCATAATAAGGTAAGTTAAAATGTAAGTGTTTATGGTCCGCAAGGAGCTACAGGTGCACCACGAGTTGTTTAAAGTAGCCTGACCTGGGAAACCATGAGAGAAAGGAAGAAATTGCGCATTTGTCTCTTTCTTAATTTCTTCACTGAAGCATTGGCAAATTCTCCCTCCTACATTTAAAAAATGAAAAATAAAAGAAGAATTTTTATTAGGAGGAGAAGAATTAACATGTATCTAGTAAAAAAAAAAATCAGAAAATCAGAAAATACAAAAATAAACTTTTGACAGAAACAAGTAACCAAAAACAACACTATGAAGCCTAACAATGTAAACCAGCAGTACACCCTCTTTGCATATTATATAAGGAGTTCCACCTTAAGGGCTGTGTGCTGAGCACCAAAGGGCAGCTGTCCGCACACAGTTCATTCTGCTAAAAAGCTAAATGAGAAGATACGTCCTTGAAGATGCATGCATTGTATACACAGTTACATTATGTCATGTTTAACATGATATGTATTGATAAAACAAGAATACCATTTCAGGATTAAGAAATTCTTTAAATCTATGCGTATCAGCTTAACTAAAACTAATTCAAAACTGGCCAGATTCAACAGATAGAGTAAACTTTGTGAAGAGATCAGGCAGGAAATGGTAAATGTATAAATATTAAACTAATGCACGGAAGACAATCAGAAAGACTGATTTTCTATGTTACGTACATAATGCCACTTAATTAGTAAACATTGAATTATATATACAAAAGCATAATGATGAATCAGAAGGCAGAACACTTCATTGTCATGGTCAAAAGCCCTGAATCGAATTGTATATAGGCTTGAAGGAGTGGGGGAAAAATAATATGAAAAAAAAAAAAATTTGACAGATTGTAATGAATGTCCATATCAGAAAAAATTGAGCACAACCAAAAATTTAGAATTACTGATTGCAATATGCAAGTATCTATTAAGTATGATCAATAACATAAATAGTGTTGTTTCATTCAAAAAATAAATAACAACATAAAATAAACATTGCTTCAGATAGTAAAATTAGGATCAAAATTTAAAAATATTCAGGTCAGTGAAACAACGAAGTGCCACCAAGCATGAGAGGAAAGCAGAAACGCTACAGGGTTTGTTTAAATGCAAACCAGAGAATGTCTCTTAACATTTACCTGCCCACAATTCCAGCTGTTGTTATGATTTTCGCCATCGTTGTTGTTTTCTCCATTGGCCAAGTTATGCTTGTTGTTATAGGTCACTAAGTCAGCCAAAGTGAACCCATCATGAGCACATATAAAGTTGATACTGTTCCATGGTTTTCTCCCACCTCCCTGCGTCAAAATACAGTTAACATTAACCATATGAAAGCATACATCATGAAATAGACAACTGCATTAACATTAAGGTCACCTGGATAACAACAACAACCAAAATCAAATAATATGAGAAATCATTGACCTACAGCTAGCTTAGGTGTTTTTATGCCATTTAACAAAAAATTAAAAGAAGAGGACCTATGTAATAAAGAGGGGGTTGTTGCACAAAAGGAACTAATAAAGTCACAAGAGACAACAGAAAAACCTGATATAAATTAGGACTCCCACAAAGGCATTCTGCAAATGCTCCAGCAAAGCCATCAGTACCTTTGATAAATTGACGCACCGTGTCCCTGTACTGCATATGACAAAATATCTTCATATAAATGGTCCTCACTCATCATGACAAATGTATGTCAATGTTAATATTGTAGATCATGACTTGCTTTAGAAGTTTGGCAAGTTATGTAACAGCAAAGAGAAATACTGATATTGCTAGAGAAGACCCTAGTTAGAGGATTATCTAAACGCATATAACCACTTTCGATTGAGGTAAGAAGCCCGCAGAAATTGGTTAAACTCTAGCATTTTGACTTGCATATGGTCAAGATGATTGCAATCATATCCATTGATGAGAGCACTACTCCCATGGTATAATGGTATAGGAAAAGAGGAAACAACATGCATTGACAAGACAGCAGGAGGGCTCCCAAAAGTTTAGTGACATTTTAGGCATGGTCAATAGGTTACCTTCCCATTCCATTCTGACCAAATACCCCAGTGAGGGAATGTGCCAACTTGGTACAGGCCACCAGTATCCCAGGCTTCGGCTATAAGCTACCAAGATGAAATTAAGACACTCAGTTTCTTTGCTTGACAATATTTAGTGTGTACATATAAGCTAGTTGGTATAAATCAGCGAAAAAACTAATCTATATAAATGATAATGATATAACTGACAAATCAAAACATTTTAATAAAACAAAAATAATAAAATCATATATTAGTGCAGATCATGGTTCCCTGGGCATTTGCCAAGGTATTCAATCTGGGCATGGCAAGGATACATTGCGTCTCCTAATTGTAACTCCTCCAACTTCAAAAGGTGATGAGCTAACGAGTGTCTATTGCAATTAAAGCCTCTATCCCTGAAATAATTTTGTTTACCTTCTTTAAATCATCTTGAAATATTTAATTAGCCTTGTCTAGCTAAAGAAATTAGACTACTTGGTCCCTTTTTGTTGATAACCACTTAACTTCATGAATATCATAAACTTCAAATATTGAATTTAAATATACTAGAACTAAATAGGCTAACTGTATTCTTTATGACATGCACTGCTATTATGCTGCTCTACAGGTTGTATAAGTGGCATTGTATAAATAGGCAAACCACAAGCCTAACAAGTTATATTTCCTATCAAGATTCCTCTTCCTCTCCCCACCCCCACCCCAAAAAAAAAAAAAAAAAAAGATATCAATTTAAAAACGATTCACCAATTCCTTGAATTTCTTCAATGACATGTAAATTACTAGAAAATGATAGCCGATCCTCATCATGGTAGAGAATTCGTCCTTGAATGAATATAAATCAAGCCTTGCAATGATAAAATAATTAAGAAAACCTTCACTTTGCAAAGTATTGGATCGTTGCTTATCAGGTCAATCAATGGGGGGCTGCTAAGTGGGGTTCCTGTTGTCATTGAGTCAGCGTCTATCGAAGCACCAAAAACATTAACTCCATCCCACAAACTGATGACAAACAGAGAGAGGAAAATAAGAACATCACTCTCCCCAGTAATATCTGAGTAATAGTGCACTATATGATATAACCTGCTACATCTGGTCAAAATTGAAGCAAGATCAAAGCGAAAACCATCCACATGCATTTCTGTTACCCAATATCTGTTGCAAAAACCGGGAAAAAAAAAGGTGAGATCCTCAAACAATATGATAACAACCTGTAACCCCAAGGAATAACAACTCAAAGATATTTGATCAGAACGCAAATCAATGGAAGATTATTTAACATAATAAATATAAAGGATGCATGTGAAAACAGGAGTTAACACTACTGATTCAGAAAAAAGATAACCCTGGACAGGATATTAGTTGTGTTGGTTATGCATGTTATCCTTTGTTTGGAAAGAGACTTGTTATTCCAGTTTCTTTTAGTCACTATTTTCCTTCCTACAATTTCCTTGTGCAGAGGACCCTCGCCTGTCAGAATCAACAGACATTTTTGCTTTTTATTTTTTCCTCACAATAAAGACAATTTTTAATCCAATACTGAACTCCTTGGCTCCTTGTTTTTCTTGAATATCAGTCGGGAATCTGTTAGGATTACTTTTGGAAACTTAGGAATAAACACGGAAAAGGGAAATATACTTTTTGATGTTCAGAACTTTGACTAAGCTTCCTGCCATTTTGGAGAAAGAAAGAGAGGTAGGGTAACTGTAGAGTTCTGTAGTCGAAGTCTATGAGATAGCCTGTGAGAGTCACTTTTTGGGCCTTTAGATATTCACACTGGTTCAAGGGGAGGGCAGAGAAGAATCTGAATTGTGGCTTGGCCCTTGGGGGAGGAGTGCAAACCTCTTGGAAGTTTGGCAAACCTGTTTGTGAGAGTTGTGTCTGTATGTGATTTGTATCTGTTGTTAGTGGTCATCTGTTGTGTTGTAATCTGTATCACTCTTGTATCAGTTCCGTTAGTGTGTTTGTTGTGTAACAGAGTAGTGTTTATCTTGAACGTATTGAATTGTATCCCTTGCTTTTACTTTTTGAGTCTAATCTTCCCTAATATATTCAAGGATTAGTGTTTTCCAGTCTTGGGTCATAACAGAATCAAAGTGAACATTAGAGCAAGCCCAAGAGTGCTTAGACTGCAAATATCAGAGCATAAAGAATCTCTCTTAGCTTGTCTTAAGATAGTGCGTTTTAGAAAATGAATGGAACTTGAATTGAAACTATTCAAAACCTTGCTTCCGTAAAATTCCTTGTTTGAATAATTAATCCTCAAACTAGAATTAGCACATTTTGGAGTTTGTCACAGTACCTTTTAATTTCTAATAAATTGTATCATATTTAGGGCTTATTAACAACTTCATTAATTACATAATTGAAAGTCACATTTAGGTAGCCCCTCTTGGCTGAATTAGGGGGACACAAAGCATTTTGTCTTTCTTAGGGTAGTAAGCTTTGATATGGAATTTGAATGAAAAAAGTGTTTCAATTTTTAGCTGCTGGGTTCTCTGTTCCCGTTCCATAAATTGATGTGCCAATCATGTCCGTATGAAATCATCAACAATCTAGGGGATGTCGATGAATATCTTTTGTGATGGGTTTCTTTTCACACACCACTAAATCTGACATTTATGATAAAAATATGCATGTATGCCTTAACCAGTCACTATAGATTCCCATTCCCTAGAAATAAAAGTCAACAATCTTTTAATAGCCAAATAGGATGAAGTTTTCCGAACAAAAATGAAACAGGATATTCATGCTAAAAGAAGTTTAAAAATGGTAAAATATAGAGAGAAACTGACTTCATAAAATCAAACCACTGATAATCATAATAAGCATACCTTAAGCAGTCCACTATAAATTGCCGCACAAAAGGATGGTTGCAATTGAATGTGTTCCCGCAACCTGAATAATTATAGAACTGCCCCTGTAGAAAACGAGTATTATTCTAAATATCATGTGCCAAAAGCATTGAACAATATGAAGTGAAAACATATATGACCATCATCTAGGAAACTCAAAAGTTAAAACCAAGGAAGAAGCATAGATTAAATGTGCTAGTGCTTACTAAGACCAAGCAATAAACTTTGCCTGGCCAGACAAAATTCAGTGGTAAAATGAAACCTATGTAGTAATCTATCTACTTTAATTGTTTTCTTTTATAATTTATTGTGCAGTCATATATATATATATATATATATATATCCCTGGAAACAAAGGCACTAAAGAAGAGAAGCTGCTGCATTGGATACAATGGGAAAGATGAAGTATAGGCTGAAAAATGGGGAAGCAAACACGTTTTTGGAATTATTACAATATATGTAACAGAAGAGGGGACAATTGACCATCAGAATTTCCCTGTCTACTTAAAGGAGAAGAGCACCTTCGGCTTTATATTTTTCAGTTCAATGAATGAAACATAATATGCACCTGAGCCATTGCCGGACTGGAAAGAGAACTAAGATTTGCTTCTAGCTACTGGATTTTGGCAGCACTCTCCAACTGCTGGTTGTTTCATGTCACTTTTGAATTTAGCTTAAAGTAGTGCCCTTTATGCTTTATGTGTTTTTTTGTAAAACGAATTTAGTTTACCTTAAGCATTCATATCTTTTCTTTCCCTGAAAAATCTCAAAAGTTCTTTGTAAGACGAATTATCAAGATATATGTATAAGATTAAATTCCTCTCCTTGACTGCAGAAAAAAACCCAAGCATATGCATTGTTCATGTCCAAAACGGAGTAAAATTTTATGATTCAGCAAAAATATTGAAGTATTGGCGACTGTAAAGGCCCATACGAGGCCAACAGGCTACTGGACCATTTACATTCTTATTCCTATCTGTTTATCATTTTCTCATTATTTTATTATTATTCAGTTTTTATCATTCCATTAGTTTTAGGTTGCAGAATCTATTCAAATAAGTTAGAAAGATTAGATAGAGAATTTAGAGAGAGGAGCCAACATTCAGTTGTGGCTACCCTGCTTGATGTATTTCCAGCTTCTGTATTGAATTCGATATGGAATAAAATCCTCTACTTTCTTCATAAAGAAAAACGTTCAGTATAATTTATGGAAAAACAGAATGTCCATCGCAAACTTAGAAGTAGAATGAACGACCAAGAAAATGGACAAAGTAGAGATCTTCAGCTCTCATGGGCTTTGTAATCAGTTAAATTGATGTAATAATGGATGGATTACACATACTGTCGAAAGTCTTCTTTTGAACCCCTCCAGAACTTCAAAAACTTCCAACAATCAAATAATTCAAGTGTGAAAGTATTGTTAGGTATACCTTGGGGGCAAGCATGTAATAAATACTATTGTCAATTCCTCGGAAAGAAATTATGGGACCCTTCTCGTTTCCTTCAGCTGTGTGATTGAACACAACATCCATTACAACCTGGTTGCAAAGTTAGCAATGAAAAGTGAAAACATAATTAAATTCAGAGAGAAAAACTACAAATACAAAAGAAACAAAATCAGGTAATCCATGGTCACCTCCATTCCTCGTTTATGTGCCTCTTTGATAAGGAACTTAACTTCATTGACCCCATCCCGGCCACAATTGTTTATACCAGTGGATGAATATCTAATCATTGGTGAAAAGTAATTGACAGTTGAATAGCCCCAAAAGTTCACCCTAAAAGAAGAAAAACACAGCATATCACCATCAGTTGATTATATCATTACAGGAAAACAAAACAAGAATTATAGAGCTGATGTGGTGGTATTTGTAAGAGACCACGAATTCATCAAATTATGCTGCATTATTGAAAGAAACTTCTAACATATTACTATGCAGGATGAAATCGCACGTTCGAAAATGAAGAAAAAAGCTAGCTCAAAGACTTTTAGTAAAAGCCAATGGTTTGGCCAGCACCTACAATTGACACTTCGACTTATTCAGAACAGAAGCCAGTGAGAAAGATTGTAACAATTTCTACAGCAAGCATCAAGTTAGGATTTAGCTCATCAGCAGGATGCTCAAGAAAAAGTAGGATATTATGATTAAATGCAATTGTTTCAAGAATTCTCTTACTTGTAATCCCCAAGTGAAGAGTTGTAGTTGAAGTATTCCAACTCATTGAATTCATGACATGGCATTAATTCTATACAATTGACCCCAAGTTCCTGCAAAAGGATTTATAGCAATTGAAAACTAACATCATGAATAATAAATTAACCGTTTGTGTGAAGTGGAAAGGAAATATCACGGGTGCAATGGGTTGACATATGGGCTTTATTGTAATTATCTATATAGATAAGCATGCATAAACAACTATGGTAGTGGTAATAGAAAGATTATCCAAAGCTGCTCATTTTATCGCTCTTAAGCATCCTTTCAAAGCAGTGGATGTTGCTCATATTTTTATGGATAAAGCGGTCAAGGTGCATGGTTTTCCCAAGTCTATTGTTACTTATCGTAATCCTATTTTCTGTAAAAAATTTTGGAAAGAATTTTTCCGTTTGGATGGTGATGAAAATTATGCTAGGATAATGCATGCTCATCTACATAACAACTTTCATCACCTTGTATTGTGGAAAAGGAACATCTTTGGTGTTCCTTAAATCACATCAAAAGTGTTCATATGCAAAGACAGATGAACAAAACTCAGCAACCATAACTTCATATGACCCTAATCTCTGTACTCAATGCAAAGCTCAGAAACCCCTTTAAAAGTTGATATCACACATTCTCGATAATTCAAAAGGGGAGCTGAACTTTAACCTTTAAAAGGGCTACAAGTTTACCGAAAAATAAAGAGGGCTACAAGTTGACAGTACCATTTAAAAGTTCCATCTTATACCTTCCAGAGGTTTGCATCCATGAAATGGAGACACTTAAAAAAAAAACAGAGAGAGAGAGACATCTAATATGTACTCCCTCTATCCCTTATTATAAGATCCATTTAACTATATTACGTGGTTTAAGAAAATTGTTAAAATTAGTTAAAACTAATAAATACATTGGAAATATACTTTTTCTCCAAATATGCCCTTATTTATAAGTGGGTAGATGTGAGTGAGGGGGGGGAAGAGGAGAGAATGTATGGGAAAAAGATAATGAGAGAGAGTATAGTAATTAAAGATAAAGCGGATAAAAATCTATTTATTGTTTAGACAAACCCAAAAGGGATCTTATAAAAAGGGACAAACCAATTCAAAAAAAATTGGATCTTATAACAAGAGATGAAGGGAATATCAAACATTCATACTTGACTTTATAAGAAACTCACCTTTAGGTGGTCAAGTTTCTCCACTACACCAAGGTATGTACCGGGGAATTCAGTTCTGCTTGACTCATGCTTTGTAAAACCCCGCACATGCATTTCATATATAATAAGATCCTTTTGTGGATATTTCAGAGGTAAGTCTCCTTCCCAATCAAACTGCACATTTCACAAAATAATAAAAACCATTACTCCATTCTATTTGCAGTAGACTAAATGAACCCTTGATCAGGGAAAGTTGGAAATTTACTCATTGAGATCACATGAAACAATTTGAAGTTAAAATGTAGCATTCAAAAAGTTAAAGGAAAAATAGTCTGACATACATACAAACACACAGATATGCACCGAAGTCTTCCCCCCCCCCCCCCAAAAAAAAAAAAAAGAATAAAGTACCTCATCAGAAGAAGAAGGAATCATGCCAGCCATCTGAGGCCAGCAGTTACCGTCAGGCCCTAAAGCACCAAACTCTCCTCTGCTTATAACTGCCTAGACAAGTGAGAGTTATATTAGAGCATACAGCGATACAATAGTAAAAAGAAGACGTAAAAATTTGAAATTAGTCTTGCTTATTATATTACAAACATAGCCTTAGAAGAAGAGTGCTGGCCACTAACTTTTGCATAAGGATCTAATAATATACGAGAAGAATCGTAGTAGTGTCCTTCTTCAGGAAAAAACCTTCCATCAAGTTTGTAGCCATATAGCATATCTTTGAAATCGCCTTTCAGAAATACATGCCAGACATCCCCAGTCTTATTGATCAACGGATCGAGAGGAATGTGCTCCGTTACTCTATTCTGTAACAAATACATTCAACCATTAATACAAGTACGTTCTAATAGAAATCAGCCGTCTCTGAAGTTACTATACTAATGTGATATGTTAATAGTTAAATGAAGCAAGAGATTGGTCCTAGCCACGATATCTATATGTTTTTCTCTTCAGAGAAGACGAAAGCTGAAAAAATGAAAATAAAAAGAAAATAGTAAGAAGGATAGAGGGGAGAAGAGTAGAGAGGAGTGATGAACAGACATGGTGCAAATCAGAGAGAGTGATCAAACAGAGAGTGGCGGAGGTTGCATTGCCAGAATAAATGGCAAAATTAACACCACCGTCACGGAGAGTGGCTCCAAACGGCAAAGGGTATCCTGTGGATATGTGGAACCGACTGGAGAGGGGCTGCTTATCAGCAGCAGCAGCCTCTGTGGCATTGACGACGAAACTCCTGGGGGCGGAAGCAGGGAGGGAAAGACGGGAGGGAAAGCAGGGGCGGGTGGGGATTGAGAAATGGAATGCGGAGGGAAAGTGGGAATGGGGAGGGAAGAGGTAGGGAGGGAAGGCATTGATGAGGAAGGAAAGAGCAGAGTGAGGGAGAGCCATGGAGATTGGAAGAGCTCAGAGATTCATGGGAAGATGAGAGTGGGAGTGGGATGGATATCCAGAGAATGAGGTTGTGAGAGAGAGCAGATGCCACTTTAGTCAGCTGATAGCATGATGCATATATCATAGATGTTTCGACTTAATCCTCAGACCGATGCTGTTACTATCTACCATGCCAATCCCCACTGTTCTTTGGCCCAAAAGAATCCCCCTCGGCTCGCTGAGCGCAGCCGCAGATCCTCCCCCGCGCCACTTCTGCCGCCGCAGTTTTTTCTTCTTTTCTTTTATTTTCTTTCCCCTTTTTTTCAAAAAAAAAAAAATTCCAAAGCTGAGGAAATAGGTCTTTGACGTAGTCATATTTACTGTAAAAATTATTTGAAAATGAGACCTATCAATGACTTTGATTTTTAAATTATTATTTTTATTTTTAAAATTAATATTTTGAGATATGAACTGATTTTTTTTTAAAAACAAAACAAAACATTCTTCTTTTTTGTTATTTTTGCCATCACAAACTTTCATATCCTATTTTTAAAAAGTCTTTAATATACGTTTTTGGCTCAGCACGGGAATGTTGATTCACAACAAACATTAAGATTAATAAAAGACCTATGCTTTTAATTGATATAATCAATGATATTATTGGGGTCTCTTGTTAAAAAGGTGTTTGGTAACATTGAAAAGTGATTCTCAGAAGTATTTTTTTTGTAAAACGAGATAAACTGCTCCACATATTTATTTTATAAACCGTAAAAACACTTTTAAAATTATGGTTTGATTTTTATCTAAATGTCCCCTAAAAATATCTCAGAGCATCATTTTTCCTTTGGAGTACGTCTTCCTCCTTTCCCTTGTCGCTCGTTTGATATAATCAATGATATTATTATGTACTATGGAATTAGTTTCGAATCTCGTTATATTTTTTTTTTTGGGGGACCAAATCTTGTTTTATCTAATTAGAAATAATCTTTAGAATGTAATTTTTTCCCTGTTCATAAAGTTTGAACATTCAACTTTACTCGAGGAAATCGAATTCTTCGTACCCAACTTAACGAGAGTTAATTCTTCTAACATTAAGAATTGATCTGAATTGTTGGATATCAATTGGATGAGAAAGCAATCCAATTCAAGTGCACGCCTGATGTTTAAAAGCTTCTAACTAATTCAATAGATTTATTAGGGACAGCTTGTTTAAAATCTGAAAGGGGAAAAAAACTACTCTAGATGAGAAAGTCGAGGGGAGCTGAGAAAATAATGCATTTTTAGTTTAGTAAATAAGACTTAAAAAAAATGACCAGTAAATCTCGCTCATTCTCGTATTTACCTTAAGATTTTCCCCCAGATCTTCCTTACTCGCCAACTAAAATACCTTTTTTTGGGAGGGGGGTAATTTTAAAAAAACTGAGCCTTAGAAAAAGAGGACAAGAAGAGGGTTAAAACAAAGCAAGGTAGGAAGGAAGTTGAGTCAATGAAGGCAAGAATGGAGTTGATGGCAGGTTGCTTGACAAATGGACGAATGAGGAGGTGACGATGAAGAAGGGAAGAGTGATGATTATAAACGTGAACTAGAGTCCATGGTCAAGAACGGGCCAACGCCCAATCGCATGAGTCATGACCATTGTTTGTCCGGCGCAAAGTAATAAAATGATTTCTAAAATACGGGCTTTTCAGTTTACCAAAATCAAAAAAAAAAAAGTGATAATATGATCTAGCCCAGTGACGAAAAGGATCGCACTGTTGTCGAGTGGTTTTTACCGCAATAACTCTTGTCAGTGTTGCCAGAATCAGTTCGTCCATTCTGGTCATTCGGCTGCAATGACTCCCCGTTTAGATAATAGTCCCCGTCTCTTATTATAACGTCCATTTTTTCCAATTGGTTTGTTTTTATTTATAAGGTCCTTTTTAGGTTAGTCTAAATAACAAATACATTTATAACATAAAAAATAGTTTGACTTTTAATTTGATTCTAAATATAAGATTTCAATTTATTTTATTTCTCATATGTATTTATTTATTTCCCAGGTAGTCTCTATTATCGCTACACATGTTAAATGTTTCACAAAATGGTAATTCTGACAAATATATATGATTAGCAAATATATTTTAAGAAAAACAATATCTATTTATTACAAATAACTAACTAAACTATTTTTTTTAATCTATTCAACTTAGTCTTATAACTCCGCCTATATTGTATAGCCGATCCCAAGCCCGGATAAATGAGGAGGGTTGTGTTAGGCCCTTAATAGCCAACGTAAAAACCCGTCGAATCTCATGAACATGGATCAACGAAGTAATTATGCTAATGCTAGGTCGTTGCCCAGAAGTGATGCGTTGTATGGCTCGAGTACAGTGAGAAATGAGCTAGAGCTGCTGCATCGTCGCCCGGATGTAGTGTTAAATGAGCAAGGGCTATCGCACTCTCTTGGACGGAGGCGACTAAAGAAGTTAGTTCATGAGACTGAGATTAGATTTGGCACTTAGAATATTGGGACGTTGAATGAGAAATCTATGGAAGTAGCAGGAGTTATGAGGGACAGAAGGATTAATATCTTATGCCTCCAAAAAACCAAATGGACTGGAGAAGCTGCCAAGGAACTTGGAGAGTATAAACTTTGGTACACAGAAAGGTGAGCGTAAGGAATGGGGTTGGTATCATCGTTGATGGGACACGGAAAAAGAATGTGGTAGAGGTTAAAAGGTTTGAGGACAGAATAATATCGTTAAGAGTAATTGTTGGGAAGGATACTATCAATATCATTAGTGCCTATGCACCTCAGGTTGGGGCAGAGATACATCTTAAAGATAAATTTTGGGAAGATATGGAGGGTTTGGTTCAAAGCATACCACTTGAAGAAAAAAATTTTATCGATGGGGACCTTAATGGACATGTTGATAAGGAAGCAGGACAATTCAGCGGGGCCCATGGTGGTTTTGGTTTTGGGGAGCTTAATAGTGGAGGACAATCTATTCTCGATTTTTCTCTTGCATACGATCTTAAGATTGTCAACACTTGTTTTAAGAAGCGAGAGGAGCATTTAATCACGTACAAAAGTGGTGTCTCGAAATCACAGATTGATTTCTTTTTGGTTAAGAATCTAGATAGAAGATTGTGTATTAATTGCAAAGTGATTCCAGGAGACGGGGTGACTACTCAACATAGAGTACTTATCCTTGATGTGCGTTTTAAGAGTACCAGGGAAAAGTACCATCAAGTGGCAAAACCTAGGATTAAGTGGTGGCAGTTAAAAGGGGAAAAGCCGGAGTTATTCAAAAGGACTCTTTTGAAGGAAGGAATTTGGGAGTTACAGGGAAACGCAAACATGATGTGGAAAGAGATAGCTACAAGGGTTCATTTGGTAGCTAAAGCAATTTTGGGAGAATCCAAAGGTCTTGGTCAAAGAGATAAGGAGACTTGGTGGTGGAATAAGAGTGTGCAGGAGAAAGTCAAACAGAAAAGAGATTGTTTTAAGGCCATACACTTGTGCAATAGCGTAGAGAACCAGGAAAAGTATCAGTTGGCTAAAAAAGAGACAAAGAGAGCAGTGAGCGAAGCACGTACTAAAGCTTATGAAGGGTTTTATTAGGAGTTAGGAACAAAGACGGGAGAAAGAAATATTTACAAGATCGCGAAGCAAAAGGAGAGAAAAAAGAGAGATCTGGACCAAGTAAAGTGTATAAAGGATGAAGATGGTAAAGTGTTGGTTACTGATGGTGATATTAAGGACAGATGGGAGGCTTACTTTTACAAGTTGTTTAATGAGGAAAGCAATTATACGACTCAGGACTTGCAGGACTTGTTAATTAACGAAGATGATCGGAATTTGGCTTTCTACCGCAAGATACGTATCGGAGAGGTTAAGGCGGCTCTCAAGAAAATGGACAATGGAAAAGCCGTTGGGCCTAATGGTATCCCTATTGAAGTTTGGAAATGTTTGGGCGATGAGGGGGAGGTGTGGCTAACCAAGCTTTTTAATGAAATTCTACGCTCTAAAAATATGCCGGATGATTAGAGGAGAAGCATTTTAGTTCTTATTTACAAGAATAAAGGAGACATTCAAACTGTGCAAGCTACAGAGGGATAAAACTTATGAGTCATACAATGAAGTTGTGGGAAAAAGTGATGGAATATAGGTTGAGGTTGGAAACTTCTATTTCGAAAAACCAATTTGGATTTATGCCAGGGAGATCCACTTCGGAAGCAATCTATTTACTAAGGGGTTAATGGAGAGATATAGAAGTAAAAGAAGATATTTACATATGGTTTTTATTGATTTGAAAAAAGCTTATGATCGTGTGCCAAGAGAAGTATTGTGGGAGGCTTTAGAAAAGAAAGGTGTACGGGTTGCTTATATCAAAGCCATACAAGATATGTATGAGGTGGTAACTACCAGTGTAAGGACGCCTGGGGGGAGACAAAGGACTTCCCTATTAAGATTGGCCTACATCAAGGATCCTCTCTGAGTCCGTACTTGTTCAACATTATTCTGGATGTTCTAACTGAACCTATTCAAGAAAGAATCCTTAAGTCCATGCTCTTCGCGGATGATATAGTCCTTATGGCGGAATCAAAAGAAGAGATAACACTAGTTGGAGTCATGGAGAAGGACTTTGGAGTCGAAAGGTTTCCGTTTGAGCAGGAACAAAACAGAATATATGCATTATGATTTTGGAGGGAGGCAAGGTAATGGGGATTTGGAGGTGAGGATGGGAGAGCAAATTATTCCTCAAGTATCAAAATTTAAATACCTAGGACCCATTATACAGGAGGATGGGGAAATTGATGGAGACATTTCTCATAGAATACAAGCTGACTGGTTAAAGTGGAGGAAAGCTACCGGAGTTATTTGCGATAAGAAGGTACTTGAGAAATTTAAAGGAAAATTTTATCGGACTACTATAAGACCAGCTATGATGTATGGTAGTGAATGTTGGGCAATAAAGGGAAAACAAGAGCACAAAGTCGGAGTAGCAGAAATGAGGATGTTGAGATAGATGTGTAGTCATACAAGAAAAGATAGGATTCAAAATGAAAAGATCAGGACAAGAGTTAGTGTGGCACCTATCCAAGAGAAAATGGTTGAAAATCGTTTAAGATGGTTTGGACATGTGCAGAGAAGGCCTTTGGAGGCCCCGGTGAGGAGGGTGGATCAAACAAGATGGAGTTCCATAAAAAAAGGCAGGGGAAGGCCGAGAAGAACGTTGAATAAGGTCATTGAACGAGACCTCCTAGTTAACAACATATCTAAGGATTGGGTTGTTGACAGAGCACGATAGCGTCGTGTGATTCATGTAGCTTAAGGGTGGAAACAGGCCAGGCCAGGCCTGTTTTGGAGCCTATTGGCCTGAGCCTGCCTGTAGAGCCGGGAAAACGGGCCGAGCCCGTTTAAACCCGTTTAAGTCGAGGGCCGAGCTTGTATTTGGAGCCTTGAAAGGGAAGTGGGCTTAAAAGGGCCAGTCCTGTATGGCCGAAAAATAAACGGGCCGGCCCGTTTAGGCCCGCCAAATTTTTTTTAATTTCTGTCTTTTTTTCTTAACTTAAAAAAGAAACCCTAACATTTTAAACATATCATACTCTTAGTTTTACTTATCTTGGCAGCTCACATAGATAGCATTCACAAAAAAAAAAAAGAATCACTATAGTTGTGCAAAAAAAACCAAAAAATATAAAAATTACAAAATTTAAAACTAGGTATATTCACAAAAATATATTGTTAAATAAGTTGTCAAAACCTATTAAAATACTGTATGTGTAATTTTTACAGTCTTTATTTGTCATTCTCCCATATTTTTTATACTTGAATATAATTGATCAAAAAATCTTTAAACTAAAATAAAGATCTATATCATTTTTATAGTAGAAACAAATTTAGAATTAAGGATGATGGACTCTTTTCTTTTTTATCAATATGACAAATGATTATTCTTCATGTATACTATGTTTGTTAGTTAAACTTTTTTGTTAATTATTTATAATCAAACTAGATCATCCGCATTGTAATTATCTACTGAACTTAGTGCTTATTTAGTTGTTTATGTCTGTCCTCTATTTAGTTTGTTTATTCAATAGACTTTATTACACTGTAATATATGTTTAGACATGATAATGTTTATATTTGTGACTCAATTTTATTTATATTTATACCTTTTATTAGTAATTTTATTGTTTCATTTTTATTATTTTGATAAAATATACAAAAAAATAAAAAAAATTTCATTTTAGTCAAAAAGGCCAAAAGCCCGCGGGCTAGCCCGAGCCCGTCATCTCACGGGCCGGCCCTGCAGGGCCGGGCCGACCCGTTTTCTCAGTACTACTGGCCTGTGGCCTGTTACAGGCTTATTTTTTAGCCTGAGCCTGTTAAAAGGCCTGTATTTTTAAAAAACTAAAATTATAATTATTATTTTTTTAAAAAAGCTAAGATTAAAAAAAACGTATATAATAATTAAATTTTTAGTCTTGTCTTTTATTTAAATTTTAGTATCATAAGTACTATTTTAAATCTTAATTATAATTTATAAGAATATTAGTGAAAACTAATTGTAATTATATGTTAAAATTTGGAATAAGACTACGTTATCTCGTTCTCGGTTTTAGCATCATATATCGATCTGGAGAAAATTTTTTTGTTGTAATGCGGATTAAGGAGCTGGTCCTCCATTCTGTGGCTTATCAATTCCCAGCGTGACACACTAGATACAGCTACAGAGACATGAATCAAATCTTTTGTCTCCGGTTGCCCATATTCTATATCTTGACACAAAAAATTAAAATTAAGACAAATAAATGAAGAGGAAAAAAATACTAATTTTATAATGAATAAAGAGGGTATCATACTTAAATTAACATAACACATAAGTTAGTTAATTTATCATTCTTGGAAAAAAAATTTCTTTCCTATTTTCTTTATATTTTTAAGATTTAAAAATCACATTATTTATTGATATATTATTTTAAATTATATTTTTATCTTCACTTGTCATCTAAACTTCAAAATCTAAGAAAAGATTAAGCTATTAACTATATATTAAAATTAAAAAATAAATTAAAATAGCACATTAACAATAATAGTATTAATTAATTTTTTCATATATTATAATTATAAATTCCTAACAGGCCCAGGCCGGCCTAACAGGCTTAACAGGCTTTTTAAAAAGCCTAAGCCTGGCCTCTTTAACTAAACAGGCCTTCAAACAGGCCTGAGCCTGTCTTTTTTGGGAAACGAAATAGGCCAGGCCAGGCCAGGCCAAATGAAGGCCAGGCCATAGGCCCCTGACAGGCCACCTGGTCTGTTTCCACCCCTAATGTAGCTGACCCCACCTAGTGGGATAAGGCTTGTTGTTGTTGTATTAAAATTAGTCTTATATTAAAAATTGGAGATATTCAAATGTATTAAAAATAGCTTGTGCAATTTACGTTAACTTATTATTATTTTTTGTTTGCCACCGCAATTTACCCCAACTTGGTACCAAAGATATCCCAAATTTAAAATACTCGCCGATAAACAAGACATGGGAGGCAAACTCCATTCTACGGAATATGGCAGGATAAAAAAAGGATGCGATTATTTATATAGGATATAATTATTGAGTTGATTTTAATCTAATTTATCAATTTTTTTAAAATTATCTATATAGATTTCTTTCAACTATAATCAAGTAGAAGAAGAAGAGAAGATATTAAAAATGATTATGGTGTTTTAGAAAAAATATGTTATATTTTTTATAGTCAACTAATTTATCTAAATTTTTTAATCTAATCAAATTAATTAAGTAGATTTTATATTAAGAATTACAAGGGTATGGATTTTATGTGTGGAAATGAAAAAATAATAAAAACTGAAATACGGGGAACATCCATTCCGCCCTCGGAATGCACAACAGAAGCACGAGATTCCCTTTGCATCGAAAACATCAATTGACTCAACGGGCGCCTGTACATCGGTCAAAATCTTTTGAAGCCTTAACTGAATGCAGAGGACTCAGATTGCACCAGGGGTCTAATTTCTTTTCTTTTCTTTTCTGATTGGGTTCGGACATAAAAAATGATCTCCATTCTGCTAAACTGCGAATGTTTTAATAACATTGGCCCAGATGAGAAAACACAATAATTTGAATTGCCAATAGTACTACTCCTGAAAATTTTAAAGTCGCATTTAATTGTAAATATAAATTATTTGCCAGCTAATTTTAAATATCTAGTAATTACATTTTGAAAATACTGCTTCTTTTTAATTATACCCACACTTTATTGTGATCATGAATTTTACTAAAGAATAAAATTTAAAAAATCACACGTTTTTCTAGATAATATCAAGAATATACTACTTAGTTAAGTTTGCCAGAGGGCATAAGCATAAATTGAATGCCAAAAAATGCCATTTAAAAAGGAAAGAAAGAATACGCAAATCACGCCACAGCTTAATTAAGTAAATGATTTTTTTGGTCAAAAGAGGATAATTATAAGGCTGTTATTGAAATTATTTATGTAAATCCATATAAAACTTCCCTCATAAATTACAATTAAAAGGGTCATTTCAAACGTGTAAATAATAATAGCAAAATATAGTTCAAAAATTGCAGAAGACGATGGAGAAGTAATAACATACAAAAACGCAAGGGTTGGCCCAAAACTCAGATCTAAAATCAAGAAACGTCATTAAGCATTGATCACAAAAATTTGATCGTGGTCATCAAGACGTAGATTTGGTATAACCTTACCACATACAGATTATCCGAATCTGCAGAGGCGAAAGATAAGCTCAAAAACATCTCACTGAATCCAACTCACTCAAATTATGGAATGGATTCGAGGATGATTAGAACCAAAAACCCACGCTACAGGGAGAATAAGAGCAAAAAGGAATAGAAAAAGAAGCACAATCCTGGTGCTGGACGCTACATATCGCCGGCGAAGAAAAAGCAAGCGGAAATCAGGAGTCAAACCCGGGCTTTCTGGAGGAGAGGAGTGAAAGCAAGGGCACTTTCCTTGCAAGATCAGAAGCGACGTCGGAAACGAGCTTGAGAAAGTCGTCGAGAGAGAATTTTCCGTAGCGCTCTTCGTCAGCGTGGAGGTAATGGGTGATTTGGGTGAAGAAAGAGACATCGCAGGGGAGAACCAAACCGCCAGGGTTCTGAAATCCGAACTCGTCTTCGGCGCGCTTAAGGAGAGCAAGGAAGATGGGGAGGTTGAGGAAGCGAGTGGGGATGACGAAACGCTTGCTTTCGGGTCCAATGTAGACGGCAACAAAGCCAGAGGGAGTGCGACGAAGGGGACAAGAGTGAGATTCCGAGGAGAGGAGGGTACGGCGTCCGAGGTTGAGACGTCTCCAGCGCATCAACATCTGTTTGAGTCGGACAATCTGACGAATCTTATCCCCCTTCTTCATCGCACCCGCCATTGAAGTTGCAGAGCAATAGAGGGCAGAGGCAGGGCTGGCTTCCAGGCAGATGGAGTCAGTCAAGTGGTAAACCAACTTTAAGGGCGAGAGGTAAGGGCCCTGACTCTTCGCCTAAAATAACTCAACTGGGTTTCGCTCCCTAGCTTATTATTATTATTATTAGAATTAATTAATATGCAAGTTTTATAGTTTCAATTAATTTTGAATCAGGTTTTTATAATTTTTTTTATCAAATCCTTATACTTTTATCAGTTTTTAATTAGGTCCTTGTAATTATTTTTCTTTTTATCAAATCCTTATAATTTCACTAAATTTTTAATCAGGTCTATATAGTTTTAATCTTTATTTATTAATTAAATATAAACTTAATTAAATAGATTAATACTGAAATATAAAATATTGATAATGAAATTAAATTAACAAGCATATAATAAAAATAAGTAATATAATTAATTAATTTTTTTAGAGCAATTAATATTTTCTTGCTGGCAAAAGTTAAAATTATTATAATAATTCATTATTTTTAGAATATTATAGTTCATAAACTAATATTAAATAATATATATTATTTTATGTTTAATAGAATAGTATTATTAGAATTTATAAAATAAAGAATAAAAAGTTCAAGGATTTAATTAAAAATAAGGTGAATTTATAAGAACTTCATAAAAATAAAAATAAATATAAGGACTTAATTAAAAATAGGTGAAAGTATAATGGTATGATAAAAAAGAAAAAAACTATAAGGACCTAATTCAAAATTAGTTGAAACTATAAGGATTTACAAATTAATTATCCCTTATTATTATTATTATTTTGAAATATACTCCCCCCTGAACGGATTAAAATTTACTTTGCTCTTAAGAATAAGATTTCAATCCAATTTATTTTTTAAATTTATATTTTTTTTGAAAAAATTATTTGTATTGATTATTTTATTTAAATTGAAAGAAGATTCAATATAAATAATTAAGGAGAACATTTTAGAAAAATTAACACATGCGTTGCACCGGCAGTAAATGAAAGGGAATGTGATTTTAAATGTTTTTTGTGTATAAAGAAAATGTAATGAGAGGAAGTTTTACGAAAGTTGATCCGTCCGGCAAGTGCACGGAATCGTTAGCAGCAATAAAGAAAGAACCTGAAATACTGAGGAAGGGCTGGTCAAAAAAAGAACTCAAGAGGGAAGGTACATTTCGCTTTCAATTAAACTAAACAGTATTGCAATAAAGCAAGAATAGTATTGCAATTTCCCTTGAGCAAAAAGCAAGGTACTAATGGGGAGCTTCTTCTAATTAATGAAAGCATTAGGGTTGAGGATTATTCCCCTCATGGAATAAACTTGCACTCATCCAATTGATTCTGATCATGTCTAGGACTAAGTCTTCTCTTCATCTCTAAACCCACAAACAGATTGTAGGAAAATGAAATCAAATTGGAGGTTTAAACATGGAATAATTGAAAAATAAAGAAAGTAACATATGATAACAATGGTAGAATCCGTAAACATTTAAAAAAAAAAAGAAGAAAAAAAAGATGGGAGTGGAAGAACAATGAATAGCATCAATGATAAGTAGGCTCCTCTGTCAGAGTGGCGTGGTAAAGGTTATGAATCCATCTCACATTAATAACTCGACCCCTATCACCTATAAGTAGTTTTAGGCAAGTTTCCTTTGATGTGGATACTTGAATGCCAAGTATAGCTCGTAATAATCTATCTTCGGGGGCATACGAGGATTCTTTCGCCATTTGGTGGGTTCCCATTCGGTGCTCATTAGGACTCCTGTATATGGACTGTCATCACCCCACTTTCTATTTTGCTGCTGAATCACGTCTCTTGTTCGTTTGAAAAAAGTACTAGTAACATTTTGAGGTTTAAATTAAAGGTGCAGGTATATAGTCAATATCCGCGATTGATCGTGTTTCACCAACGTGTTACGGATATGTTGTTGGCTGTTGGTTGTTGTTTTGGGGTTGGTCGACTGGATTCTCGTGGTCTTGGGCCTAATTGGAGAGTTTCGGGCATTAGGGAATGAGTGATGAGTAAGGCCGCAGTGGGCAGATGCATGGCAGAAGGAGGATGCTGTTGATTCATTCACAAAGAATTGGAGGTAAAGGGACATTAGTGTGGAGTTGGGGTGAGCGTTTGGATTTGTTGGGGCTTGTGTGGCGAAATGAGAATAGTTTCAAATTTGCAATGGCTGGTGAGATGGGGGCAGGGCAGGCGTAGTCTGGAGTGAGGCGGTGGAGAGGCAGGTACGTACGTGAGGAATCCACGCAGCTTCGCCTACATATTGGTCTCTATGTACCTGCAGCCGCATCCAACACATCCTCTCCGATTCTCGTCATGAACTCGGCACTACAGACATTCACAAATTATTACAAAAATGCGGTTCCTATTGGTGTCTGTATCACTCAACAAATGCACAAGCCTGCCTTAATCACTCTGCCTCTTATATGTTTTTATATATATCGCTTCATATTCAGAATTAAATGAATTGTTTGGGGACGCCAGATAAAAAAAAAAAAAAGAAGCATTCTGTTATTAATATCCTGATTTTTTTTTTGGATTACTCCATCCGGTGTCCCAAGGAAATAGGCGTCTTTCAGCCGTGACAACGTCCCCAGACTAATCCGGATTCGGGGGCTTGCAAGGATCCATACGGACGGCGCCCCCTGACCCCTTGGAGTGCTGCGTTCCCACGTCTCGAACCCGAGATCCGTGGTTAAGCTAGGACGACCCCAGCCAGTCGACCTAACCCCGTGGGGTTTATTAATATCCTGATTTCCCTTGTGCTGTTGTGCATATAACTATACTCTAAAACTTCATCATCAAGAATAATAAGAGTAAAATGCATCGGCATTCTTTCTATTTTATCTTACTTTACACCTACAAACATCCCTTGGCTTCTGTTTTCAAAATCCATAAACCCCTTATGAAATCACAATTTATATACTCCTCTGATATTAAATATAAGACCCCTTTCATAGTGTAAATTACACTACAAAACGGGTCTTGTATTTAGGACAAGAATTTTACACTACGAAAGAGGTCTTATATTTAGGACCGGAAAAGTAATACATATCTTCTATCTATCTTTAAGATTTCATTTTCTACCTATCTACTTCACTATTAGTTGGCCGTTAACTTATATGCTTTCCACTAAAGTAAACTTTTTTAGCAACAAAAGTTATCTTTAAAATCATGCAGGTTAAAAAATAATTTTAATGAGCATATTTTAAACTTTATCATTTATCATTTTTTTTAAAAAAAATTTAGTTATGTAACCTTATGTAGTTTGTAATTTTTTAATGTTTGAATACATAAAATGGTTAAAATAATTAATGTTATTTCAAACATATGCGTGTAAATATGGCTTAGGAATTTAATATAATGAGAGATTAATTGATTGGTCGATATAATTTTTTAGACGAGATCACAATTCAAACATTGTTAATAAAAAAATAATATTAGAAAACTTTCCTTTAATTAATTTAAACGTAACGCAAGTTGAATTTAGATTTTTTGATAATACTAAATAGGGATATCGTTTATGAGAACAATAAAATTTTACGGAAAAAGGTTGAATGGAAGGAATACCAAACGGCAAACACGTTATCAGAGGCAGTCCACAGAGCAGATGAAAATAGACAGAAAGCCACAAAATCGGATGTAGAAAGTGGAAACATCACATGCGCAATGTTATCGATCATCTATGTGTGCGCGCGATCTAACCGTTTAATGATTAATTTATAGATTTATGATAATTATAGCTATTATGCCTCTGATCAATATCTACTAATAGTGTAAGAAAATCGCTTCATTTACGTTACTATTGTATGTTACCGTATCGTATACCTTTTTGACGTGGAGGGTTATATACAGAGGATGATAGCGAAATAAAAGGCAGAAGAGGGCAAGAGGCGGAAAGAGAAGCACGTGTGAAGTGGGGGATTGTGCCAATAATGATGATGGAGCATTTTTAAATCATAATTAAAATTCAATATGCATGTATCTATGTTGGAGAAGAAGATGTTAAAATTGGAATGACCATGACGATTTGAAATGAAATAAGTAACTAGCCTGGATACGTGATGGAGACAGGATTCATAAGTTCCAAATGTTTTTGATATTGGCTAGCTAGTGACCAAAAACACAAGACACCAGTGAGAGCGTCGGTCGGTTGCTGGCTTGGCTAGTGCTCCAAATAGGAGCGGGATAAGCAATCCCACATAGAAAAAGACAAAAGTAGAAAGCAAATGATGTAGAACAGACGGACACACACGACGATTGATTGAGGTGGAGGGATAAATGAGGAAGTGGGATTTTGGGAGGATTGATTAACAAATCATAATAGAGAAAGATAGATCAATACATACGGATCACACAAATCATGCTTTACTGGGATTGCATCAGTATAATGTCATCAACATAGAGGAAAGTAACAGTGGAAGATGGCAAAGAATGACGAACCTAAACAACCACTGAACACACATACGTATAATCACCCAGCGTAATATGGTAAATACAGAAAACAAAGAGTGCATCTAATGAGAACCATATATAAAAAGTGCATGATTATATTCGCCATCCATGCCAACCAATTCAATTGTATTGTCACAATAAACCTGCACGCGACATGGCACCGATTCGGGCTCAACAACATGACGGAATAAAGCATACATAGGTAGATCATTCCGTAGAAAGAAGTTGTATTCAGAGGAAATATAATTGTGGAATTGTTCGATCTCTCAAAGTCAAGGAAGAGATCGATATTCTTGCGAAAGTTGAGGCGGAGAATTACAAAACGCGTGAAAGAAGGCAGAAGTCAGCAGGCACAAAGCTAAGTCAGGAAGGGATGGATGAAAACCTGAGAGGAAAACGAAATCCCAGGGGGTGAAAGGAAAAGCTTAAGCTGATCATAGTGATGAGCTTAATAACCCTGGCTGCCCCATCCATGAGATGAGGATAGAGGATGCTTCCTCGTGGATGGTGCGGA